TGATGCAATATATATATATGCCTTACTGTTGAATTATATACCTGAAACTTACTGGATTTTATTAACCAATGTTACCATAAAAAAAAAAAAAAAGATCATAACTTGGTGGATCAAATGTCAAAAAAAAAAAAAAAGATTCCAGTGGCTACTAAAATACCCCAGATCCTCATCAAATCTGCCGCTGGAATTTAAAAGGAAACACTTTAATGACCAGGAAGAGGGACTTATCAATTAATATTTTAGAAAAGCTTGTCAAAATTGTAGCTGATCTTGTTATAATCTTAAGACAACGGGGCACTTGTCTAGAGACAAGGCATGGGAGCCATTTGAAGAGAATCCGATGCATTAGAATTGAATTGAAGTCATTCCAAATAAGCAAACATTTATTGCATTCCTAAACTAAGCAGGCGCTGTGCTTTGGGGCAGGGGAGGAGGGGTAGCAGGGGAATGATGCTCAGAGTTGTTAGAAAGAGCTGTCCTAAACTGCCCCACAGTACGTTTTCATTATATAGAACCAGGGAGTTCACTTTTAAGACGTCTTTATAAATTCTTCTTTCTAATTATCTTTTTTTTTTTTTTAATGAGGGCGAGTTGTAATTTGGTACCAGTTTTTGTATAATGTTCAGATTAGCTTACCACCAGAAAAACTTCTTTGTGTTGTAAACAAAAACATAAATGGAGCCACTTTAAAATGGAGCTGCCATACCAGGGGAACTGCCTTGCATGTCTTATGTCTCAAAACTTTGGAATGTTAAAACTGGGCAAAATAACCTTTAGACTGGACCTGAGCAAAACTTGTACCTTGCAAAAGAACTGTTTGCTAAGATAACAAGAAAGCAGGTATGACTGACTACTGGACCAATAACTACTGGACTGAAAATTAAAAACAGTTTAGAATTAACATCACTGTTATGACATCTGTACCAATAGAAATGCCTTCCTTCTATTAATATAATTGTTTTCCTTCCCCTTCTCATAAATATCCATTGCCTTTGTCTCTGAATTGGAACATTATTGGGGCTTCTGCCTGAATCAATGCTTCCTCAATAGCTGTTCTTATTGATCTCAGTAAACGCCATTGCCTCTGACTTTGAAAGGCTGTTTATTTGGGGTTAGCAATGTGTATTACCTCAACAAGGTAATTACACATTTAATCCTCTCAGCAAGTCCATAAAGTGGAGGCTTCTCTTTACTTCAAAGATGAAGACGATGAGACTCAAATTGGGTAAATAATAAAGGAAATGGGATTTAATCCCAGGTAGTTCATACACATAATCATGATGCTCTACTGTTTCTAGAGGCCTTCTGCCAATAAAGATCCTCATGAAATGTCTGACAACAAGGATAAATCAAATACTCTGTATCAAAGGATTGTGGGTTTCATCCCCTTTTACTGCCCTCACATACTGAGTGCTTATGGCACGGTCCCATCACTAACACTGGTTCCCTGGGGCAGTATTTCTCATTGGTGGTAGCAATGGAGTGGGCATAAGAATATACGTAATTTTAAAAAATCCTGACTCCTCAAGGGATGTGTATGTGACCCATTGGAGGTAAGTTCTCCTATGGAGAATGCCGTTATAGAAGAATATTTATTGATGTGGGGCGGGGGCGGAGGAGTAAAAGCAGGTCACTAAATACTGTGTATTATATGATCTTAGTTTCATAAATATTTGCATGTGTATCAGAACATTAACTAAACTGCTAGCTGTCATTTTTTCTGTAACTTCTAAGTTGTCTACACTTGCCATATATCAATTTTGTTTCAAGACCACCCCCCAAATAAATAAATAAACTAAAAAAAAAAAAAAAGCTTTTCAGGAAGTAAACCTTCATGAAGGTTTACCTCTTGATGGCTGAGAAGTGGCCATCTAGAAGTCATTTGTGTTCCAGGAAATTGGCAGCCCTTGGAAGAATGAGAATGAAATTCTCATTGCTGGTGCTTCCAGGAGAACACAGATTTCTGAAGGAGTGATACACACTCTGGAGAAACCTGGCTAACCGGGTAGGCATCTGGTTTAGTGGGGCAAGCCAAAACTTCAAATACATTCTTTGTTCAAATTTAGGAAAAGGGGTGATCACCAAGAACAAAATCCTGTAGGAACTTAAGTTTTCCCCAGTTTTGTGGCAATTACACCTCAAGCTCTTATGCACTATGTGACATACATGATGTAACCAAATGCTCTTATGTTTGTGTAATGTTTGTTCTTCTGGCAAACATCATAGCAAAGAGAAGGAAAAAGAAGACTGGAGTCTTCTCTTGTAAACGCTTATGGTGTGAAACGTAGAGCTATTGTGGGGGCACATTGCAGGTAGACTAATAATGGTTAAATTGAATATAAAAAGCTGAATGTGAAGAGAAAGTAGAGGATGCAACTTAAAATCATGACCCTAAAAGGCAGAGATGAGACCCCGCAAGTAGGAGAGTAAAAAAGGTTGATGGTTTTGTGCTATATAGGACAAACATATTTTTGGCTTTTTATTCATGTCTAGGTCATTAAGAGAAACAATACATTAAGGATATCTAGTGTCATTCATTTAACTATTTCTTGAGAAGTATTTCAGGAGAGGCATGTGCTCTATGGTGTGAAGGACACAACATCTTTCTATCTCGTTGCTTTAGCTCGTATGGTTTAAATCTCATGATCTAAAATGACAATGTCTGTGTTTCAGGCAGCAAGACAGATGAAGAAAAAGGAGCAATTGCCACCATGTGACATTCCTTTCTATTTCTATCTACAATGAGACTGGAAAATATTGTCCTTATGCTTGTCAGCTGTGTGTATAAATATCAGGGTACCTATTAATACAGATGAAAGAATGGATATTGAGGCACTTGTACCTTCTGCCACAAGCGTCTACTGCAGGTTATCTTGACCTTGGCAATATTGACATTTAGTGCCAGATAACTCTTTAGGGGGCTACCCTGTGTGCTGTCAAGTGCATGTAGCAGTGCCCCTGGCTCCTCAATAGCATTCCCCTACTTGTGACAACCCAAAACATCTCTAGACATTGCTAGATGTCCCTCGGCAACAAATGTCCCACTCCCGGTTGAGAAACACTGTTCTACTCTGTGCAGGAACTGTGTAGTCACTGGTCAGGAGACAAAACCAAACTGTAACTGAGACAATTTCAGACAGTGCTAAGTGTTTTGGACAGATAGGGTTGAGATGCAGGGTGTACTGTGTATGCGAAAGCCCTGAGGGGAAAGAACCTGGCTTGTTCTAAGAAGAGTCTGACTGCAGGTGCAGTTGGCAGGTAAAGTGGACTGAGGCGAGGCTTGAGAGTAGATGGGAGCCTGGTGAGGTTTTGGGAGTTTAATCTTAAGTGCAATGGGAAATAATTGAAAGACTTTAAGCAGAGAACGACATGATTTCTGACAGCATGTACATAGGAGAAGAATGAGACAATGTAAGTTGTCATAGTTGTCCAAGTGAGAAATTATTATGGCATGGTTTGGCAGTGGCAGTGGGAATGGAGGGAAATAAAATTGCAAGAGAAAAATAACTAAGATAGGAGTGGCGTTAAAGGGTATCTATTTTTCACACGTTGCGAAATTCAGTCCAACCCATTACGGATTTGTTCTGTATGTTCCTGCATTAGTTTCCTGGGACTGCTTTAACAAATTATCACATACTTGGCAGCTTAAAGTACATATTGTCTCATAGTTCTGGAAGTGAGAAGTCCAAAATCAGCTTAATTGGTGTCTACAGGGTCACGCTCCCCTGGCAGGCTCTAGGGGAGAATCTGTTCCTTGCCCCTTCCAGCTCTGGTGGCAACAGCATTCCAATCTATGCTTCCGTGGTCACAATGCCTTCTCCTTTTCTATGTGGTAAAGTCTTCCTTTGTCTCTTATAAGAATACTTGTGATTGCATTTAGGGACCACCCAGATTATCTAGGATAAACTCTCCATTATGAGATCCTTAATTTAGTCACGTTGTTTTCCATTTAAAGTAATAGTCACTCTTTTGCCACAGAACATTCCCCAAATTAGGACATCGATATCTTTAGGGGGGCTGTTACTCAGTTCTGTAGTGTTGGATATCACTTTTGGCTACAGAAGGATAGACTAAGAAAAATCTTATGTTTGTTTAGAGAGCAAGGTGGAAAGCAACACTGTGAAGGTAATAATGCCATTTAGTAAATTGATTAGAGAATGAAATGTTAGAAAAAAATTTTTCATGAGTGAGTTTTCAAGAATTCTAGGAAAGGTAGGCTGAAGGACAAAGAAATTCAGAAAGGATTCATCAGCTTTAGACATATCATTCTAGATATTAAAGTTAATGTTTAAAAGGACTACTATATTTATACACTGTATAGTGGGCACTTGAATGCAAGGTATATTGCATGTCAGTAGGGCTGGGTATGGGCCGTTAAGCTATGGTGGGACATGGATGGGAGGACAGTGAGAAGGCAGTGGATGATGGAATGGAAATGCAGGACCAGACTAACTTACAGAGAGGTAAGACCAAAACAGGGGCAGATGCGTCCAAGTGACTGTGGCTGGGAGGTCCAGGAAGC